GTACTACCACGATCAACGTCCAGAAACGTAGCAAGGAGATCAGTAAAATAATCTGTGACATCAGGGGTTCAACCGTAATTTTACAAAGCTACGCAAATACTTTTTGTATGCAAAGAAAATAAAAATAACGACTTTATTCAACAATTCGTCTCCTCTGCGTCTCTTTCTATTTTGAATAAACACTGTTCCTTGTTTTATTTATCAAAGAATTCTGAAAAAATTATCACACAGGTCCCAAAAAAAATTAAAGGGATAGTTCACCCAAAAATGAAAATTCTGTCATCAAAGTGTAAACAACGTAGAAAACATATCAGCATGGCGCAGCAGATGACATAGAACAGCATACGTTGTTTACGTATGTGATACTCTCCAAAATGGCACCAGGGTGACGCGGAGGAGACGAATTGAATAAAGTCGTTATTTTTGTTTTCTTTGCGTACAAAAAGTAATCTCGTAGCTTCGTAAAATTACGGTTGAACCACTGATGTCACATGGATTATTTTACCGATCTCCTTGCTACGTTTCTGGACGTTGATCGTGTTAATTACTAGTGCTGTGTTCGATACGACGATGTATCGTCACAGAGATCTGACAATACAAGTATCGATACAGCTGTCCCTGTATCTATATTGCGGCATGTGTGCATCAGTGGACCGCACTTAATTTGAATACAAGAACGGAGTAGAAAAGTGCAACGTTTCTAAAAAAAATAATGAATAGAGCATAAAATATAGGCTACAACGAGGTTTAATCTGGCCGCAGAGGAACCGGGGTTGCCTGATATAAAGAGACGTAATCCCCAAAACAGAGCTTTAAGTAAAGTGTGTTACTTATCTTTGTCAACCTGGCAACCATGTGTTAGGGTTAGGGTTAGCGAAACGATGATGTTACCAGCTCCTTGTTGGGAAACATAATATAGCTTTTCAGCGATTAAGCTATTTTATTGATAAAATTGCGATGCAGCGCTAAAAAGTTTGTCTTAACGTGATAAAGAATGTCTGTGTGCGCGCGCGCAGCGTGATCTGTGTGTGTGACTAAACGTGTGTGCGTGAGGTACAGTGAAGACAGCGCATTAGTTTAGAACTCCTCTAATTTTTATTTGTATTCTTTAAACGTAGAGAGTGTGTTGATCTGTGCAATGATAACCTACCAGCAATGTTAAGATGATTTTAATATATTAGAATGAGTACATTACAATATAAATTTATTAGAACGAGTACATTATTATTTATGGGCTTAAAAACAAGATGCAAACAATCAGAATATTGTACCTGGTGGGGAGTGC